CAAGCCATGTGAAATTGGTTCATTTGGCGCTTTGACAATACTTAGTCCACCAAGCACTCCGAACTTCGTTCCGGAGAGCGCATCCTCAAAGTTTGCTCTTATTTGTTCCATGTGAGACGGCTAACAGCAGTAATACTATTGTAAATTCATCCTCAGTCTGCGCATAGGAGGACTTCATGTCAGTTTATGTTCTAGATAACTTCGGATTGCTTTGTTGTCTATAAAACCTTATCGTTATATTTCGCCCGCAAAGCTTCCTTCACCCAACCCCTTTTCCCCATATCAAGTATTGGGACATTATATATCGGAGGATTAATAACCGAAAACGCACATCGTTTAAGCAACCATATACAGTTTACGGAGATGTTACACGATTTCCCGAATTTTTTTCTCTAGGAAAAGGAATTTTCGAAGTTTGCATGTTTCACTTTTTCGCGATTCGAGGAAATGGCACAGGAGGAATCAAACACAACTTCATCTAAAACTGACGGATTCCTTGTTTGTGACATCAATGGAAACGCCGTATTTTATCCCATTAACGACCTTCACCGTGACATCAGGTACACAAATGTTAAGCCACTGTACATTGATTAAGCTTTAAATTTACAGATACAATTTTATTAAGTGCAAAGCTTCTGTTTCAGTTTTTGGACAACAATGGAACCAATAATTTGTTTCATTTTATCCAACAAGGGACACCTAAATCTCCGGATTTGAGAATCGTACTCTAATGCCATGACCAAACGTCTATTATTAATAATTCTTGGAATAAGTCATTAAGAAGTCATAAACTAAAGTACTTTCACTAGGACATTTCGATATCATAAAGGTTGAACGAAGTTACCTTTCCTAGAGTAAGAGAATATCGAGAGTGCTGTTAGGTTACTCCCAGAAGTTACAAACTATGGCATGTTATGTTGCAAAGTTTTCCGAACTTTGTGGTCTAATTCCCATTGAGACATTAAAAAATTGAGAATTTTTTTTCGATGATTGTACATTTTACGCAATGTTTTACACTCTGACAAATTTTTAAAAATACATTGCCTCCCTCGATTTGGTTTGAGCTGACCCTATACATTACACGGCTTGTGTACAGCCAACGCCCTAACCACCTGACCTAAAAGCCATGAGTTTAATCGCCTTTAAGTCAAGTTAGGCGGTCAATCTATAGCAACGTATAAGATATAACAAATATGAGTGCGTGACTTGACCAAGTGTGATGCTACTCAAGGTTTCTGGTCGAGGCCTCGTATAATAGATCCTTCGAACATTGACTGTATGTCAGACCCACTTTTGCTGTGGTGCGTTCAATCCCTACAAATTCTGCCATAAGATTCAGAATTGGGTTAAAAAAAGTTTTCAGCTTTACTAAAACTTCATACTAATAGATCATACGTACCTTACTTTCAGGCTTTCCTTCAGAAAAAGTCCACACACCTTGACAAATGTTGCATTCGTTGCCCAACGGTCGGTCGACAAAATAAGGTGTGTGGTAATTTACTCATTCATTTTTAATCGGATATTTTGGCCAAATATATCTCATTTCACGATAATAATCCGTTTTTCAATAAGTAGCATGTTGCAAAAGTGGACATCTTAAAATCAAAGCCCAAAAGACAAAACAAAAGCTACTACTATTTATACTAACAAGATATCGTGCCATTGTTTTGTTTAAAATTATTTCTATTATACGTGTATTCACACTAATCTAATGCCAACGTTAATTTTTTAGGAAGGAAAGGGTACGTACATTTTTCATGAGTTTTCACTAAATTTATCAAATAAAGTAAATTAGGCCAAGCAAATCATGAATACGATTAGAAAAGTTTGATTCTACACGGAATTCATTCAGCAAGATTGTTTGCCTAACGTGGTATTTAATCAACGATCAAATGTCCTAAAGCATATACGCTGACACTTTCAAAGAATTTAGTTTCTGAATCCTGAAGGCTCCTAGCGAAGTCGAGTCTTCTCTGATGGCTATTTTAAGAGCCTCTGTTATACACATAAACTTCCTCGTCAGTTAAGTGGTTGCAGCTGTTAATTTCCCCAGAAATTAATTTCTAATTTCTATCATTATATTCAAGTGTCTGCAGGCGCATACTAACAATTGATGTAAATATTTGGGCCGAATTGTGTCAGCCGCTGCAGGATAACTAACTGATGCACTTTGGCCCAAATATTAACATCAACTTTTGGTGTGCGTCTGTACACCCTTGAAAAAATGATCTGTTTTAAGGTCGAAATTAATTTCTGAAAACTGGAGTTTCTACCAGCAAGCGCGCAGGGCATGCTGTGGGACCCACTGAGCCATGCAGCGGCAGAATACCGGCGTCTGGGCTTTCAGCCAGTACATGTGCTGCCAGTAGGATAAAAAGTACATATTATAGTATATACAACGCTGACTCAAACAACTTATATTTTGTTTTCAGAGGAGCTATTATGTGCTTAAACGAATAACAAAATAAGTTTTCATTAACCGCTCATATTCATATACATTAAAGCTAATACCTTGAAGCCAGCTTCATATTTTTTTAAACTGCTCGATAAATTTTCGCAGTCATTTTAGTCAGATAAGCTTTTCAAAGATGGGTAGACAAGACCACTACCAAAACGTCAGGCTTATAATAAACCTCTCCCGGTGAACGCTCCTCTTTCTTTCGATACTTTACTGAGCTTTTAAAATATGATAAAAGGCGTCGGCTGTTTACGAGCTACAAAGATGCTTGAAGATCTAAGGAAGGAAATCGCGCGCGACCGAAAAGTTTTGCAGAATATCCGACAGAAGTTGGCCACAAACGGTAATATTGAATGCAATATGCGGGTTTTCAGGAAAACATATACTTTTGAAAAACATGCTTGAATTGAATAAACCCGGACTCTTCGTATTTCTAAGTGACCTCATGTGCAGCTAATGTCAGTGGCAGCACATTGCGACATTTTAAGAACGTTTGTTTAAAATAAAAACACCGGCCTTCTATTCAAGAAATGAGGAAAATACTTGTTAAATACGACGGCAGCAAGATGCAATAACTGTTATCTTGGACTGTGAACTGACTAGTTCTTTAAATGTCAGCCTACTTCGAATTTCAAAGGAAGAACATTTGATCGCTGGAGTATAAACTTTATTTACCTAATGCTTTGGATTCTCGAGTGAAGGCGTCATCAGAAGCAGTCGCAGATGGACGTCATGACGCTGCAAACAGTACAGGAGGACACGGTTGTCATGCCACTACGTGCCTAGTCCGCTCAGTATATCTCGCATTCATCGTTGGTATTTTAAATGATGCGAACGTTACTCGCCCAAATCATCGAACTTCTGAAGCTATGTTTCGAAAGTTACTTCGACGGAAGAATCAATCAGCAGGTGAACTGCACGTTAATGGGTTAACCGATCTTGGGACTCATAACTGAGGGAGTTCTGAAACTCTCGGGATCGCTGTTCTTTCGAAACCAGAGACCGACATTCTGTGTTTGGTATGCAAAGGTTACATTAGCAATCAACGAACAGGATCTGGTAGTGGCATTCGTTGAACATACCGACGACGGCTTCATGGACATTCATTTGACGACGAAAGAGGAGGAAAACGATCAGATAGCCTTGCTTGAGGTCCTGGAGTTCCGCAAAGATGTTGGTGGCCTAAAAACTATCGTATTCAGGAGAGCAACAAATTGGACTTCAATATCAATCTTCCAGTCAGTCACAAACTCAGTTGCGTGCGGCTGCTATATCGCTGTGTTTTGGCCGACTGCGGGTTCACTGAATTCCAGTAACTTAACTGGGTGTTAAGGGCACACGGTTACCCACACAACCCTGTTAATGGATGCAGACGCAAACCAGACGATAGACCGAACCGAACCAACCCAAAATGTGCGCCCTTATGGGCGAACTTTCCGGAAGTCATTATGTGCCTTCTTACAGCCATCGGCGTTGGAGATTCACACCGATCAGAAGACTCTACCAGGTGCCAAGTAATGGGGCCGAAAGTCCTGCTGCCAGGGCAGGAAATGGCGGGAGTCATATACTGAATCTGTCGAATTTGCGGCTAAAGCAACTACGTTGGCGAAACCGAGAGCCTACTCGACGCGCTAATGGCCAAATATGCAACAGCAATGAGGAGGATGGACGTTATGCCTTTTATGCGGTAGGACCCGGTCACACCTTTAAGGTTGACAAAGACAAATTTTTCACAAGGACTGACAAGTCTATGTGCCCTGAACTATTAGAGTCGTGGTTCTCCAACTCGGAGTCAATTAATAAGCGAAATAATCTCTCGGCTGCCTAATTTATGCTGACTTTACCCAAGCAGAATAATTAGCCGCGCGTGCAGAATGTGGGCGTCCAACGTTTTGAGTGACAGAGCCAAATTGCCGAATAATCCTCAGGGCCTAGAATCGAGAAGGACAGTTAAATTTCGACAGCTCACTACTCGGATGAGTACTAACGAGAGACCATCACAAAATTTACGATCTCCCCCGGCGATTAACGCGAAATCTGCTGATTGAGCTAGATGGGCGGTGACATGGAAACTGATCATTTAACTATTGCTCTCTTTGCATCTTCATGGCCATCTTATAAAACTGCCACTGATGACAAGCGCAATCGAGAATCCAAACCTTTAGATAACTAAACCTCGTGTTACAGCAATCGCACCGTCTTCTTGTGAGCTGCTTGCTGGAATTAATTTCATTGCTTCTATCTATACTTGTAATTAATATACAGTAAAAGCTAGGACAGTCGTCAGTTATCCTTGGTTAAGTACATTTTTGAACCTGAAAAACCAGAACAGGGACGATGAGTTGTCGTTTTTGCTTTAGTGAAATATTTGATCAAGCCTATATTACTGTTTGAAGGTGTGGCATTATCAGTAATGCTATGCCGAAGTAGATAACGCATAAAATATCATTTGATAATAAAGCCATAATCTCTTTGATTATTTAGGTTACCTCTGTCTGCGAACAGATGTATCTTTTGTGCTATTCTGATGGCCAAGTTCAACTACAACAACTCATGTTTGAAGTGGACACAGTGAATCTGTTGGATAGCACTGCGATATTTTCAGTCAAGCTGTCTGATGTGGTGTTCTCAAACAGGCGCAGCAAATTAGAACAGCCAACAGCAGCCTTTAAGGTCACAGCGGTGAAAATTGCCCCCCAAAGGCCTCTAATAGCTGAAAAGATTGCCTTCCTTGCTTGCGACGGTGAGTTTCCACTTTAAAAAACTCTGGTTCCTGAAAAAATTGAACGTTTTATTATATATGTTTTTGCTTAAGGAATTTAAAATCTAATCTTATTGTCCTCTTTTTGGCCCCTTTTCCCATTTCCAATTTAGTTCAGATTTTGCAAGTACTCTTATTGCGCTCAACAAAATTACTTGTGTCTCTGACCCTTTCATGTTGATTAAATAAACTTTTAGGGGGACGTGTTTATAAACTTGATCTGCAGTACTACCTCACTGCGGCAAACTCCAATAAAGCTCCCGAGGACACAAATACTCTCATGGGGAGTCTTCGCTGGAGGGCGCACGCCGGGCCAATAAACGATTTAGCCTGCTTTCGGCGACTTAACGAGACAACTGGGAAGGAAGATCTCTTCCTAGTGACTGGCGGACAAGACGGATTGGCAAAGATATTTGTTGGATCGACCGGTGTGCATCTTGGGATCCTCAACCAGGTTGGGAGACTAAAATATAGTTCTGTTTGTTAAAAATAAAACTTGACATGGAATGCATTGTATGCTCAAAAGATGTGGAAACCGAGTGACCCATACATCGGAATAGAGTTATTTATTCAAGCCAATGACCCAAGAAATAATTATGGCGTTTTCATAATTACGCTGTAAATAATCACTCGAATTGCAGACGAATAGGCATTCTTTTAAGACGTTCCCCTCGAAATAAGGAAATAATTACAGTAAGTGGATTTACATTTTTGCAGTAGGAAGGAAAGATATATAGAAGTCACCTCTTAGGCTGAGGAATATCAGTTCGAACTTAATAAAATATTCGATCAGGCGAGGCATAGACTAATTTCTGAATTTATATGACTTCGAGCAAGCGAACTTGGGCTTTTATAAAGAAGAAGATTTAGGTGCATAAGTGGCAACAGAACTGCGATACTTTCTTCCCAGTCGGCTTTCGGGACATGAGCAATATGGAATTATTTGCATTGCTCATGCAGCTCTTCAGAACAAAAGGCGCCGTTCACCCAAAATATCATTTAAAGTATTATCTCTTTTATTCATTGGAGGAAGTAATAGTGCCAAAATTGATTTGCATTCGAAAATATTTCGCTGATCCTCACAATTGTCGTGTCCGTTAAAAATTATATTTCCATCTAAACTAATTTTTCTTATATTTAACCTACAGGATATTCGGAAAACAGCTCTTTTATGGGCATTATGATGAGATTAGATAAGCTAAAATCGATTGGATCCACAGGTTTTTATGTCCCTCTGGTTACCGAAAAGCATTCACTTTGGTGACGAGTAGGCGCAGCAGTGCAATACTCCGATTTCTGCCTCAATCAGAAACGAATGCAGATTTCATTTAAAATTACTTTAATTGAAGTATTTTGAACAAAATGTTCTTCCTTAGCCTGTATTTCTTCGAGTTTCTTTTCACAAAATCCATCTACATTTTTGCAGAAAAAGGCTATTGACTTTTCTCTCTTACCGGGAGCCGGGCCTGTTACTAGAGATGCAAGTTTGACCGACGCAGATATTGAA